ATGGATAACTCTCTTGCAAAGCATCTTATGTTCACAGATCAAAAGTATGATGATTGGAAGATCAGAATGAAGGCACATCTGTGTGCTCTACATGATGAAATGTGGGAAGTCTTGGAGAATGGCCCCTTCATTCAGTTCATGAAGGTCAACCCTGATCATACTACTGATAACTCTTTGCCCCAGATGATTGAGAAGGCCAGGTCTGAATGGACCAAGGAAGAAAAGAGACAATACAATCTTGACAATATAGCCAAGGACATTCTCTACAAGGCCATTGATGAAAGGTACTTCAACAGAATCAAGAAGTGCAAGACTGCAAAGGAAATCTGGGACAAGCTAGATGAGATTGGAGCTGGAGATGAACAGGAGAGAGACAACAAGCTGACCATTGCCATGAAGAAGTTTGATGACTTCAAACTCCTCCCAGAAGAATGCATTGCCAAGATGCATGAGAGATTGCTGATTCTCATCAGTGAAATTTCTGAACTTGGCAAGGAACTCACCACCAAAGAAGTCAACATGAAGATCCTCAGAGGACTGCCTTCAGCATGGAAAATGAAGGTGATTGCAGTCCAAGAAAGCAAGAACATCAAGACCTACCCCACAAAGAGACTGATCTCAGATCTCAAAGCTTATGAGTTCGAGATGGTTGAGGAGAAAGAAGAAGTGCCAGATGAGAGAACCACAACTGCTCTCACTGCCAGCACCTCTAAGACAACAAACTTTGATCCTTCAACTCTTCTATCTGATGAATATATGGCTGCCTTCGCCAGAAAATTCAGAAAGTTTATGAAGAAAGATGGAAGGAGTCCATCTTCCATCAGAAGACCTCATCAGAAGAACAAATCTTCTGAAGGCAATGGAGAGTACCTCTGCTACAATTGCAGACAACCAGGGCATTTCAAAGCAAACTGCCCCTTTCCAAGAGTGTCCAAGAAGCAAGGACATGAAGAAGAAAAGAAACCTGAAGATCAACACAGAAGAAGAAGAGCATTCGTCTCAGAGCAAGCTGAGAGAGATCCACTCTCTGAATCAGAGTCCAGTTCAGATTCTGACTCTGATGAAGCATTCTGCTGCTTGGATGCAGAAACTGAAGACCTCTGCCTCATGGCTCAATCAGATGATGAGGTATGCTCCACTTCTGATTCTATTTCTTCTTCGGTAGGCACAGCCTTAAATGATGATCCAATGTCATCATTTTGGGAAGAGTTTCAAACTATCCAAGCCACTTATTCTTTTGTTAAAGAAGAGAACAGTAGGCTAAAAGCTGATATCTCTAACTTAAGTAAGGAGACTGAGTGCAAACTTAATCTCTTGACTGAGGAAAGAGATAAACTAAAAGCTGAAAATGAATCTCTTCTAAAAAGAGTAAGAGACATTGAGAGACTTGAGAGCAGATATAATAGTCTTCTGAAGATGCAATCTTCCATGAAGAATATTTGTGTCTCTCATAACCTCACCTATGGTCTCGGATATGTTGAATCCAAGTCTGGTGAATCTTCTGTAAGGCCTAGCACCCAAGTTGCTAAAGCCAAAAAGGTCATAGTTTCACAGACTTGTAGCCCCATCTGTCATGCTAGTACTTCTGGTACTAAAGTTGTACATGAGAAGGTCATACCAGAGAAGCAAAATCTAAAGGCCAAACCAAAACAAACCCTGAAAACTAATGAACCTGGCAGAAGATCTAATAACAGAAAAAGTTTTCAGAAAAATAATAATCAAAGACCAAACTCTATCAGACAATATCATGACAACAGTATCAGAAACTGCTATCAGAAAGGCAGATATCAAGAGAAAATTAACTATAGACAAAAGAGGTTGTCTGGTCAACCTCAGAAGCCTAAAGTTAAGCGCTCCTCTGATCATGATAGTATATGGGACTTCTTTCCAACAAAGAAGGCTATGCAAAAGTATGCAAACAGAAAGCATGATCCTCACAAGCATCTGCCCAAAGTGAATCATACATCTGTTTATTACGACTACCAGGTGGACAATGGGTACCATCCACCAAGGTTTCAGTTGATGAGACCAAAATGGTACCAACTACCAAGACTCCATTACCCCCCAGGACCCAACATTGCTTGGGTACCTAAATCTTCCTTTTGATTTTGTAGGAACTGTGTGCTGGAGCCATCTCAGAGCAAGAATGGTTTATTGATAGTGGATGCTCCAGGCACATGTGATGAGCTAGAATTTGTGCTTCATTTTTATATTAATCTATTATAATTCTAAGCTTATCATTTGCCTAATTGAGAGGTTTGAGTTATATTTTGTGATAAAAATGATTTTTGCAGGTAAAGATTTCACTTTAAGGATTTCATGATATTTTGGGCTAAATTGAGAGAAATAATATCATTTCAATTGGAGTTGCAATTAGGACACTTTTGGAAGACTACGTCTGCTCCTCATTTTATTGGGACGGACCAGCCTTTTAAAGGAAAAAAAAAAGCCCAGCAAAGAGGACCAGCAACCCAAAAGCAACCCAAATAAAATGGGAAAAGAGATCTTTTGGGGAGGGCTGCACAGCTCTCACGGCGGCGAAGAGCCAAGGCCGGACGGGAAGATAGCGACGCAACAGCCAAGAGAAGAGCAGAATAAGCCAGACAGGGAGAAGAAATCAGGGTCAGTTCGAAGCTCTTCAATTGGCGTTCTTCTGCGTGAGTCATCAAAGATTGAGTAACGACTAATACTCTTGCAAAATTCTGGTTTGATTCACCGAAGACTACTTGTTTTGCTCCTTATTTCCGATTTTTCATTGTTTTAATAAATAAGACTTTGTCAAGTTGAGGATGGAACACAATTACTTAGTGTTAACCGTGAACATGAATCAAGTGAACTTTCTTTTTCCTTCAGTTTCAATAATTTGCAATTGTGATATGAGTAGCTAAATTTTTAAGTCCTGGATTATGATGAAGTTGCTATGATTTAGTATACATTGTGATTTTAGTTAAGTCAATTGATTGAGTTTTATCCATTGTTCTTATTCGCTTAATTTCTTGTGTTAACTTCTGGCCAACTTTAGCATGATTGATTGAGTTTTTGAGTGGATTAATAGAGTACATGTCATGCCTATTAGTTCGAGCTCTTTTGGATAAAAGAATAGATAATTGAACTGTCTTGTTGAGTTATCTATTTGGTTCTTAAATCGGGTTTCCGTAGTTCTTTTGTGATTAATGGATTTTAACTATTGAATTAATAATTTCCTTTTAATTAATAGTTAAAGTACGTGACTTATTCTGGACGCCATACGGGATAGTCATATGTTTGTCTAGAACGAACCCTCAATTCTAATTGGCTAACTAAATCACAAATACTAAAAATTAGTGACTGATTCATAATCATGGACTATCTTTTCTCTTGTTAAATTCTCAATCAATTTTACGTCAGTTGTTTGATCACTTTATTTTTAATCAATTGAATTCCTTGCATCCATTTTAATTCAAGCTTTACTTTTCAGTTTCAAATCAAAACACTCTCAAATCTCTCTTTTAGTTAAATTAATTTTATTTTTTTATTTTTAATTAATAGTTTTCCAATTACTTAGTTGCATTTTCCCCGTGGATTCGACCCTTACTTGAGCACTGTACTATCGCGACTCGTGCACATGCGAGGACTATTATAAATTGTCTATCAATTTTTGGCGCCGTTGCCGGGGAATTTGTTTAACTAGTTTTTGGAAAATTGTTAATTTAGTTTTTGTTTTAGTTAGTTGTGTTTGCTTTTCTTTTTTTTCGTTTTTTTTTTGTATGCTTGGTCGCAGGTCACTTAATCCATATTTGCTATCGTTGAACGACCAAGTTGACTTAATTGGCAAAAGAACAAAGAGGAGGCTCCGATTTGCTCCTAATCCAACAATGGGTGACGCGCAGCTAATGAAAGAGTTTGGGAGACCAACTGTGGGTGTCTCCCCGTCTTGCATTGTACTGAGTGAGGCTGCCCGAAATTATGATCTGAAGACCGTTCACTTTAATCAGTTGCCATCTTTTCATGGGTTTTCCTCTGAGGATGCGCTGATCTTTATCCGAGATTTCTACGGCATCATCCAAAATTTTCCCTTGCAAGGAGTGACTGAAGATGAGCTGAGGATGAGGTGTTTTCCGTATACTCTTAAAGATGATGCTAAGACATGGTTTATGTCTTTGACACCTGGTTCCCTGCGCACTTGGACTGATGTATACAATAAGTTCATTGGCAAGTACTATTCTCAGTCCAGAACTTCAGAATTAAGAAGAAAAATTGCCAATTTCACTCAAGCTGAAGGTGAGCCATTTCATGAGGCGTGGGAGAGATTTAAGATGCTGCTCACTCAATGTCCACACCACGGTTATTCATTGGCGCTCCAGAATAAGACCTTTTATGACGGTTTAAACCAAGGATGTCAAGCTATTGTTGACAACGCAGCTGGAGGAGCAATGGGAGAGAAGACCGCGGAACAAACATTAGAGCTTTTCGAGATGCTTGGAGCTAATTCCCAGCAGAAGAGTGTGAGAGGCAGGACTCCAGGAATTTATGAAGTGGGTGCAAGTACAGAATTGGCCATCCAGATATCTGAGCTCTCTAAACAAATGAAGAACATGTGCACTGTGATGACAACAATGAGCATGTCTACTCCTGTTGTGAATGCAGTACCTGAAAGTGGTTTTGAACAAGCCCACATGATGAACTCATACAACCAAGGGCCAAGGAATGATACATTTTCTAACTTCTACAATCCTGGCTGGAGGAATCATCCTAACCTTTCATGGGGTAACACACAACAAAGCAACCAGCCACCACCACCTGTACAGAAGAAGCCTGCTTTGGAGGATACTCTTCAAACTTTCATGCAAATCTCCATCCAAAATCAGCAAGCAAATGAGCAGCGTTTTCAGCGCACCGAGGCCTCTTTGAGAAAGCTAGAAGTACAAGTTGGGCAGATTGCTGAATCCCTCCAAGGACACGTGCAAGGAAAGTTACCGAGCCACATTGAGGAGGCAAAAGCTGTCACAATTCTTAGAAGTGGGAAGGTAATTGAGAAAGATGAAGCGCAACCCATTCTTAAGCCACCGGAGAAGGTAGAAGCTGAAAATAAAGAACTTGAAGCTGAATCAGTGAATGAGGAGACCGGGCTGCACGAAGCTGAAGATCCATATGTGCCACCTAAGCCATATGTTCCACCCATTCCTTTTCCAAACAGGTTAAAAAGTTATAAGCTTAATAATTCTTTTGATGAGATTTATAAGTTGTTGTCTAAGGTTAATGTGAACTTGCCTTTTCTTGAAATGATAAAAAACATGCCTGCCTACGCTAAATTTTTGAAAGAATTGAGCACTAGAAAGCGTAGGTATGAACCAAATGAAAAAGTGTTTGTTTCTAGTGCTGTTTTGCAAAAAGATTTGCCTCCAAAATTAGAAGACCCTGGCAGTTTTATTATCAACATTAATTTAGGGAATTCTAAATCCGAAAAAGCTATGCTTGATTTGGGGGCAAGTATAAATTTGATGCCTTATTCTGTTTATTTGAAATTAGGGTTAAATGAGCTAAAATCCACTACTATGTCCCTACAGCTTGCTGACCGTTCTATTAGATATCCTAGGGGCATTGTAGAGGATGTTTTAGTTCAAGTGGATAAGTTGATTATTCCTGCTGATTTTGTGGTTTTGGATATGGATGATCAGTGCAAGTATGTGAAAGACATGCCAATTTTACTTGGTAGACCTTTTATGGCTACGGCAAAAACCATGATTGATGTTCAAAATGGAAAATTGACTATGAGTGTGCTTGATGAAACTGTTGAGTTTTCCATTTTGAAATCAATGAGCGTGTCAGCTGATTCTAGTTGTTGCTTTGCACTTGATATTCTTGATCCTATTGTTCCTTTGGACAAGTTGCAGGAAGATGAACTTGAGAATCATGCTTATGAGAGTGCGGAAGTTTGCAAGAAGCGCACTAATCTTTTTCAGCACAAGTCCATTTTAAGGAAAGATTTTAAACCTGGAATTAAAGTGTTATTGCTTGACTCTCGTTTAAGATTTCTTCCAGGAAAAATAAAGTTTAAGTGGACTGGACCGTTTGTGATTCGCCGAGTTTTTCCCGATGGTGCAATTGAGCTTGAAAATCCAAAATCTGGGAATATTTTTAAAGTGAATGGTGAGAGAGTGAAGAGATATTCATGTAGTGAAGATTCAGTGGAGCAAGTTGAGAGTCTTGAACTGCTTTGGGAGCACTTTTGTTCATGCATTTAATCACCTGTTTAAAAAAAATCAAAAAAAAAAATTCAAAAAAAAAATCAAAAACAAAAAAAAATCATTTTCTTAATTCTGTTTCCCCCTCCCCATCCCGTGCTTTTCTTTCTTTGTTTCTTTCTGTTTTGCAGGTTATATTTCAAGCGGTTTTAGTTTTTCATTTGAAGTGCATTCAGGGAGTTCTTCTTCACCTTTCTCTTTTTATTAATCTTTCATTGAGGACAATGTTTGAAATAAGTGTGGGGGAGGAGTTGCTCTCATTCGTTTAATTTTAATATAGTTGTGAAAATTGCAAAAAAAAAAAAAAATCAGAAAAATGCCAAAAAAAAAAAAAACAGTTTTCTTGCTTGGATTTGAGGGAAGTTTAATTTCAGGATTACTTTTTGGTTTCAAGTTGTGAAAATTTTCCCTTTCATTGGTATGTGGTATGATTGGTGGTCTCCATGATAGGTATTCTCTTGAATTTGATTGAGTCCTTCACATTGTTTTTACTTGGAGTCAATTTCTTAGCCTCTTGTGCCATTAATTTGGATGTATTTCCGAATTCCTTATGATCTTTTAGGATGAATCTCTAACATTCTAGGAAAGAGTGTGAGTTCTTTGACTTTTAGTTAGCATGATAGAACTTGTCTTGTTGCTCTTTTGGAAGCTAAGTTATTGTGCAAATTGACTGAGAAGTGATCTAGGCCATTTTTCATAACCCGAAACTTTTTAGCCTACTATACCCTTTGCATTTTATTTCCACTTGCTACCCCCCATGAGCCTAAGTGGTCTTAAAGCATTCTACCGTGCTTTTGACTAATAATTTCTTTGTTATTACCCATCAATATTGACCCGAGCCCAAATAGCCAAAATTTATCCCTCACCCTTGAGTTGACATTTTTTTTTTTACTTAAATTGTGACTTGGAAGAGTTTTCATCTTATTGGAGCAATTTTTTTCCGGCTGTTTGTATATGTAATTTTGTTATGGCAGCTTGACATTTCCTTTTAGAAGTAGTGTTGATGTAGCATTCAAAAAAAAAAAAGAGCTGAAAAAAATACAAAAAAAACAGAAAAAAAAAGTGAAAAAAGACAAAAAAAAAAAAAGATGAGTTCAGTTGAAGTTTGTATTCTTTTCACTTTATGTATGTATTCCATTGTCTTAGAAGCCGGTTGATTGTTGTAATAGTTTTTTTTTGTGCTCCTTTACCATATTTTTGAACTCTTCCTATGATCAGTTTAGTACATAAAATGTCTTCTCCTTTGTTTGAATTCCCATATCCTTTCTTTCATTAGACCATTATTGCTCATGGCCACGTTACAACCCCAATAATAGTCCTAAGTGATCTTGATTAGTTTGTGCTTTGATAAGGTGGAAGAAAGAGCATAAGATGACAATAGAGTGTTGACTGATTGGCTTAGGACTTTGCATAATTTCTGTGAATGTTACTTGAGCATTTCACTAGGTCATTTAGAATTGTAAAAGACATCTCTATTAATGACATGTGAGTCTAGTTGATTGGCTTTTGAGTTTGAGTTTGTGGTGGATACTTGATTTGAATTTCTTGAGTTATCTTGTCATGGATGAAGGGTTTGTTGGAATGCTTGGTGAGTGAAGGGAATTTTGATCACTTGTTGCCGAATTTGTTTCTTGATATTAATTTTTCCTTGAGGACAAGCAAAATGCAAGTGTGGGGGAGTTTGATGAGCTAGAATTTGTGCTTCATTTTTATATTAATCTATTATAATTCTAAGCTTATCATTTGCCTAATTGAGAGGTTTGAGTTATATTTTGTGATAAAAATGATTTTTGCAGGTAAAGATTTCACTTTAAGGATTTCATGATATTTTGGGCTAAATTGAGAGAAATAATATCATTTCAATTGGAGTTGCAATTAGGACACTTTTGGAAGACTACGTCTGCTCCTCATTTTATTGGGACGGACCAGCCTTTTAAAGGAAAAAAAAAGCCCAGCAAAGAGGACCAGCAACCCAAAAGCAACCCAAATAAAATGGGAAAAGAGATCTTTTGGGGAGGGCTGCACAGCTCTCACGGCGGCGAAGAGCCAAGGCCGGACGGGAAGATAGCGACGCAACAGCCAAGAGAAGAGCAGAATAAGCCAGACAGGGAGAAGAAATCAGGGTCAGTTCGAAGCTCTTCAATTGGCGTTCTTCTGCGTGAGTCATCAAAGATTGAGTAACGACTAATACTCTTGCAAAATTCTGGTTTGATTCACCGAAGACTACTTGTTTTGCTCCTTATTTCCGATTTTTCATTGTTTTAATAAATAAGACTTTGTCAAGTTGAGGATGGAACACAATTACTTAGTGTTAACCGTGAACATGAATCAAGTGAACTTTCTTTTTCCTTCAGTTTCAATAATTTGCAATTGTGATATGAGTAGCTAAATTTTTAAGTCCTGGATTATGATGAAGTTGCTATGATTTAGTATACATTGTGATTTTAGTTAAGTCAATTGATTGAGTTTTATCCATTGTTCTTATTCGCTTAATTTCTTGTGTTAACTTCTGGCCAACTTTAGCATGATTGATTGAGTTTTTGAGTGGATTAATAGAGTACATGTCATGCCTATTAGTTCGAGCTCTTTTGGATAAAAGAATAGATAATTGAACTGTCTTGTTGAGTTATCTATTTGGTTCTTAAATCGGGTTTCCGTAGTTCTTTTGTGATTAATGGATTTTAACTATTGAATTAATAATTTCCTTTTAATTAATAGTTAAAGTACGTGACTTATTCTGGACGCCATACGGGATAGTCATATGTTTGTCTAGAACGAACCCTCAATTCTAATTGGCTAACTAAATCACAAATACTAAAAATTAGTGACTGATTCATAATCATGGACTATCTTTTCTCTTGTTAAATTCTCAATCAATTTTACGTCAGTTGTTTGATCACTTTATTTTTAATCAATTGAATTCCTTGCATCCATTTTAATTCAAGCTTTACTTTTCAGTTTCAAATCAAAACACTCTCAAATCTCTCTTTTAGTTAAATTAATTTTATTTTTTTATTTTTAATTAATAGTTTTCCAATTACTTAGTTGCATTTTCCCCGTGGATTCGACCCTTACTTGAGCACTGTACTATCGCGACTCGTGCACTTGCGAGGACTATTATAAATTGTCTATCAACATGACAGGTGACAAGAGTTGCCTATCAGAGTTCCAGAAAATCAATGGACCCCGAGTCACTTTTGGAGGAAATGACAAGGATGGTCAAACAAAGGGAAGAGGAAAGCTGATCAAAAACCTGATAAGCATTGATGATGTCTCATATGTCAAAGGTCTGAAGTTCAATCTGTTGAGTGCTAGCCAATTCTGTGACAAAGGCTACACAGTTGAATTCACCAAGACCTTATGCTATGTAAAGCATGAGACAACAAAGGAAGTGGTTCTTACAGCCAAGAGAAGAAAGAACATCTATGTTGTTGATTGGCAAACAGCAAAAGATGGAACCTGCTTGATAGCTAAAGATAATTCAAAGCTAAGCTGGGACTGGCACAAGAAACTTAGTCACTTGAATTTCAAAACCATCAACAAACTGGCAAGAGAACACATTGTAGATGGTCTGCCTGACATTGTCTACAAGAAAGAGACCCTCTGCAGTGCCTGTCAGAAAGGCAAACAAGTGAAGTCTTCATTCAAGCCCATAGCTGGAGATCTTTCTACTTGTCCTCTAAATCTGATTCACATGGATTTATTTGGACCAGTTGAAACTCCCAGTGTTGGTGGAAAAAGATATACTCTTGTTATGGTTGATGACTACTCAAGATACACATGGACTATGTTCCTAACAAAGAAGAATGAAACTCTTCAGAAGTTGCCATCTCTGTTAAAGCAACTTCAGACTGAGAAGAATATGAAGGTCAGGACAATCAGATCTGACAGAGGAACTGAATTTGTCAACAAGGTGATCAAAGACTTCTGTGATCAGAATGGGACATTTCATCAACTCTCTGCTGCCAGAACACCCCAACAAAATGGTGTTGCAGAAAGAAGGAACAGAACACTAAAGGAAGCTGCAAGAACTATGATTGCAGAATCAGGATTGCCCATCAGATACTGGGCTGAAGCAATCAACACAGCATGCTACACTCAGAACAAAAGCATGATCCACAAGAATCATCAGAAGACCCCCTACGAGCTGTGGAAAGGAAGAAAGCCAAACATCAGCTACTTCCATGTGTTTGGATGCAAGTGCTATATTCTAAACAATGGAAAGGAGAATCTGAAAGTATTTCAAGAAAAAGCTGATGAAGGTGTATTCCTAGGCTACTCAAGTTCAAGCAAAGCCTATAGAATACTCAACAGGAGAACTATACAAGTTGAAGAATCCATTCATGTCAAGTTCGATGATAGCACCTCTGCAGAAGAATTATCAGAAACCCTGCAGAAGATCAATCTTGAAGATAAGATTTCAGAACCATCAGAAGAGGTCACCATCAATCCTGGATTCTCAACCCCTCTTAATAATCCAATTCTGATAGACAAAGATGAAGAAGAGGATGATGTATCAGAAGATGATCAATCAGAGTTGCCTAGACAGCAACTATCAGAACCTGATCTAACTTGGTTAAGAGATCATCCTCCTAATCAAGTAATTGGTCAAGTCACCAGTGGTGTTAGGACCAGATCTGCATCTAGAATGTGACACCGCACCCGGATGTACTTGAATTTGAAATTCGACGTGTAATTTAATTTTCCTAGCGAATATAATTCGTGTAATTGATCGGCATATTTAATTAATGCACGATTAATTAAATTACATATCGGGTCCATTATATGAGAATGGGCTACCAAATATTTAGTTGGGTTATCATAATAATTATAGGGGCCCAATAAAATGCCAACCGAAGTTGATAAAAATATTTGGACAACCCGAGCGCTATTTTAACCCGGCCGGCCAGAAATAGCAGGAATAATTGGGCGGGACTTCCTACACCCACTTGGGATATCCTACACACTAATTTGACACAAAAAAAAAGGGGAGGGGGACCACACAAGGTGGCTTGTGCGGACTGATTGAAGGGGGAAGGGTAGAGACAACCCATACACCCCATTCTTGGACTCATTGCCTCATTATTGGCTTTGAGAAGAAAGGAAAACAACCCCCCATCCCCTTGCATTGTTCGAACCACCCAAGACCAAGAGAAGAGAGAGAGAGGCTCTGGAGAAGCTCTTCACATCATTCATATCTTGGAGGAAGCAAGAGAAAACGAAATCCAAGGAGAAAGAGCTAGGATTGGAGGTAAGAACTCATATAGTTCTTTAACTAGCTTTATTTTTGTATGATTTTTAAGAAATCATATGATGGATCAAACATGAAGTTATACACGTTTAAAAGTGTAGAATAATGTTATAAAGTGGTGGTAATTAACTCAGAAGAGTCGTGGAATCGATAGGAGTTGAAATCGCCGGAAACCGCCAAGTGTAGGAGGCTGTTCGTAGCTGCAGACCACGAAAGCCGCCCACCTTTCACGAAAGCCGCCCGGCTTTCGTCTGCTGCCCAGATTTTTCATCTCCAAACGGTTTAGAACGGGGATTGATCGAAGGGCTTAACAAGGACAACTACTTCAGCACTTCATAAGGTGAGGATGGCTGACTATATTGCTTATAATCTTTGGGTTAATTTCGTAGGATTACCTAAAGTAAATAAATGTGATTTTCATGGATTATTAATGATTAATAATGCCTAAATGAAAATATTGTTGTCAATGAATAAGGGAGCATAATATACAAGCTTAAGGATAAATTGTGTATGATTATGTAATATGAGCATATTGGCTTGATGAAGGGATTAATTATAAATATTGTGTTGAAATATAACTATAACTTCATATAAGGATATATGAGTGATTAAAGGTTATATTTTGTATATTGATATGAACTATATTTTCTATGGAAAATTAGTTTGGAAATTGTCTATATGACTATGAATTGAAAATGAGTTTTGTTGGAATTTATCCGACTAGTATTATGATACTAGTCGGGGTTTTGGAATGAAATATGTTAGAATTGATCAGAGGTTTGGATTGTAAATTGTTGAGCCTTAAGTAGTCTTAAGAGATACTAAGGCGGATAAGTGATGCTAGGGGTAGGCCTCAAGGGATACCCAAGATAAAGTGAATAATAAATTGATCCTAGGAATAGGATTGGCCTACGGGTGTATTCGGTAGTCTTTAAGGATTAGCCGATAGAGCATTGGTAATTAGTAAGGACCATGGCCCTTCCCGACTCTAGAGAGCGGGGTTGGATAGCATGGACTTACATCGTGATCACGGGTTAGGGTGGAATCCGAACCGGAGACCTTACGAGGCTCCCGACAGCGGTAACACATAAGATAGGACCCCGAATGGACCTTACCTTCCTACGGGACGATGGGTATGAGTTCAGGGGCGGGATGTTGGACTCCGGCCCGGGGACCCGGTGAGGCCTCGGAGAGCGGTGACAAGTCTCGTAAAGGATGATAAGACCTACGGGCGGTGTCGTGCTAACGACGGGTATAATGAAATATATGAAATGGGCCGTGTGCCGACAAATAAATAAATTTACTTATTATAGAGATAATAAGTGGGAAATATAAATTATTATTTATATTATGATATCACCCTATTTTGAGGGTCTTAGAAATTGAAACATTGATTATACTTGGTATAGTTGTCATTGTACTTGTCAAATGCTTCCAAGTACTGACCTCCCCTTCACGGGGGAGGCCACCTCACAGTTTCAGGTAGGGAGTAGAGCTTGCTACCAGTGCCCGTTGCCTCGGGAAGATCTAGGAAGGAAGACGTGGTTCGTGCTTCCTCCGTCTCTATTTTAAAAACATTTCAATTAATGCTCATGGATATTTTTGAATGATTATTGGGGCTTGTATGCCCATGTTTGCCGGAGTGTGGCATAAACACTTGTATTAAACGTTTCCGCTGACTTCAATTGATTATTTTACATTATGTTTGTTTATGGATGTACTATTGTGAATGATATTCAAGACGCCTAGTATAGTATGGATGAGTTGGACTGCGGTTGACTATTCATACTGTACGGCGGGTTGTTGACGTGTCCGGTAGGTCCGGGGCGTGACAATTTAGTTGGTATCAGAGCCTTAGTCCGTAAACTTCATAATGAAGCTTCAAAATTCCTTTTTGAAAATGATTTTGCAAACCATGAGCATAAAGTTTTGTACTTATAGAACTTTTGGTACTTGAGTTGCAAAGTCTCTAATTGTTAAGATGGTACCCTTAACAATTGGTATGGCGGTGATTTGAGCCAAGAGATGTCTTTAAGTACCTATCCGTCACTTGACAATTGATACGAGTCTAATGGCTCATTCTAAACTTCTTTCAGAAATGGAGCCAATTGGAAGAATCACTAGGAGGAACCCGACGGGCCGTGTACCGGGGGGATCCGAGCGCGGCAGCCGGGGGTCCACTAGGGTGTCCAGGGGAAGGGGCCGTGGAGGCCAACAACAAACCGTGAGCGACGGCCACGTTGACACGGAGAGTGAGACTTATTGGTCCTATGAGGACTCAACCTATAGGCCGGAAACCGAGCCGGTGGAGACCCCTTATGAAGGGGATGATGATGATGTTAGTGACGAGGAGCAAGATGGCTCCTTGGCAAGAATTGAGGCGCTACTCCAACAATACCACCGAGAGCGCGAGGAGAGGAGGGAACGCCGAAGGCGCCGGGTGGGGCAACCTTCGGGTATGGCTTCAAGAGGAGGAAGCCACAATGCATCTAGAGTCCATGTGGAACCACATGGAGGCCGAAATGATGGAGGTCCAACCATAAGGATCTCCAAATTTATCAAAGAAGCAAGAGACTTGGGGTGCAAACCCTTTGACGGGACCGGAGACATTTCGGTTGCCGCCCAATGGATCAAGAGGTTGAATGAAGCAGCCCTTGACATGCAAATCACGCCCAACCTTAAACTGAGAATAGCGGTAAGGTTGCTTGAGGGGATGGCATCCA